TTCGTGTACCAATGTAAATCCCGGCCCCGACCGATATTAGCTTATTCGAGCGGGGGAAAAAATGTTGTCGAACCGGACGATTAATTACCGATCTGTCGGATTATTTAAATTGCAAATAATGCGGCCAACAAAGCCGCATCTTTGAACGGACCCAGGCACATCTGATCCATTCGGTCGGCAGTTTAATGTGAAATACGATCGGCCGGGAAATCGTATAAATTACAGGGAAACGAAAAAGCGAACACAAGAGGAAAAGGTGCCACACGCAGTGCTATCGATCGTGAATGGAATAAAACATTTGTCTTTTATTTCCAGTTTTATCTTTTTTTTCAAATCTTTCATCCATCTTCTTCTATCTTTTTTTTTCTTTTTTCTTCTTTTTGTTTAAATGGTAGGACCTGGTCTAGAAGGCATGAGACAAGCTGGATTGTGGCCAGGTTTCTCGAAATAGGAATAATTTTAAGCACCACTTGAAAACTATGCCAATAGTCCGTGTTCACCATTATCGTTACCGTTGTACTTCTTCCGCTTCGTTCCAGACCGAAAATGTACGGGCATGCGGTAACCTAATATCGAGCTTAATCGTGATACGTTTCGGCAAAACCAAATAGAGAATCTCCGTAGTTCTCGTTTATGGAAACTTTAACAGGCTGAACCTTATCGGATGTTACCATCGGCGAACGGGATTCTTAATGAGCCATTGTTTCGGTAGCTCGAATAAAAGTGATAAGCGATTATCGCTGCTGAAGATAAATAGAGTTGAATGTGTGTACTTAGACTTTACAATTTCGACTGTAATTCGTTGGCTGTTTAACTTTCTACGATGAGGATTTGATTTGTTTATGGAAGAAAAAGATTATAATTTAGCGTAATTTAGTATAATTCAAACTCAAAATTATCCCAGATGTTTGTCATAATATCGTAAATTATGAATGTTATATTTATGAAAAAATTTCATAGGAAAATGTTTTACTCATGTGTGAATTCTTATGAATTATTTGGGGACGTGATTCTCTTTGATTCGAGCAACACACTTTTTATGCAAATAAACTTTATAACCCAGTTTTTCGTGTTAAAGCAAACAAATTTCGTACCTCGGTTTTTTTACGAATTTACTTTTAATTTAAACTACATTTGAAAGTTTGCTTTTTCAAAGTAACTAGGTTTACTCTACTTTTTATGTTTCGTGTAAAATCACAAGTATTACGAATAAAATTCCGAATTTCTAGACATCAATATCTGAAACATCGGTATTCGTTGCTCTGAGTTCGTATTAGATACACATTATTTTATCCATCCCCAATTTCCTTCAATGGAAAACAAAATTTACTAAAAATTTAGATGTAACAACAATCTTCAAAAATTCATTATCGACGTCAATCTAATCTTCTCTCATTAGATTTTATGCCGAATAATATTATCATAATTCGAATTGAGTCTCAAATAAATTTCCACCAAGCAAGATAAATCCTTGAGCAGTGTTGCAGTGGTCAACGAACGTCGCGACCGCAGCGACTGCCAGGAAATAATTCGTATTTACATGAATACGCCAGCTACGTCGGACGTGACGAAGGCATTAGAGCATCAAATCGAGTTAGCAGCGCGAATCGCTAACCGCATCAAGTCACTGTCGGCCACCTTGTACACCCTTGCCGGCGTCTGACTAACTCTATCCACGGTCCAGGGATAACCTGGTTCGCCCCTTTGTCCGCGGTCGCCATCACGATCCGCGATTGGTTAGCTGCGATTGACTAAACTTCCACTTCGTCAATGTCCTATCGGTCCTCGCGTAGGATTAAACGTGTGAATAAATAAGCGTCCTGTAGATAGCCAAGTTCGTCTATCGATAATATATAAATTTATAAATTTATAAATTTATAAATTTATAAATTGCAACAGTTGTTAATCGAAAAAGAAAACGAGAGAAATTCGATTGGCTGAAGATTTGGTTCCAAGTTTTGTGATTGAAAATGATAATGAGAAACAGTTGAGTACGTGGAAATATGCAATGTAGAATATCATTACTTTTCTTCAAAGAATTTTATATCAATGTCGTTCTACCGTAGTAATACAATTGCGTATATCATCGGATTTTATCATTGTATTCATCTGACGTAAAGGTTTATCCGAAGATTGTTCCGAGTTAACATTTTTTTATTGATGTTCTATTAAAAATGTTTAATTGTTCAATGGGGTACTTTTTATTTCAAAGTATCTTCTATCTGTCGGTTATATTCAAAATGCCCTAACTGTCAATTTTCATTCAATTTTTACAATTGTAAAAAATTCAAGCGCTCCGGTCATCAATGACCACCGTAGCGTCCGTGACTGGTCATATAAGACCAACGTGGCAGTCAAAGTGTAACGGTCAATTGTAAAGCTATGCCGAAAAGAAGATATTTTTGTTAGAATCTGCGAAGCACTCAAAATTCTACCGTGATTGAACGTTTATATTTGAGACGCAATAAAAAGTGATTTAGTTGAATATTCTACGTGTATACACTCGCTATATGTTGAACGACGTTAAATCAAGTTATTAATTTTCCTGTTGGCGAAACGATATTTGGAGTCCATCAGAAACCACAATGCTCCTGAAGTTACACGATTTTCCGTATTCACGTAGCGGGCATGGTTCGGTGCGCGCATTCAACGAAGATAATTCTGGCGATCGCGAAAGAAAATTGATTTCGATTTGATGTACGCTTCGATATAAACGGTAATCCATCACAGATCACAATGCGATTTGAACCGCAGTCAATGACGTCGCACGGACCGTCATCGTGGCAACAATCGATTTTAACTCGATGCGGGCAACGCGTTGCCTGCAGCTAGCATTATGCCGTCGTATCCATGTAGAACGATTTCGCGTAGGAACGAAATAAAAACGATCGACTGACAAACGATTATAATCTACGATAGAAACACCGTCGTTGACAACCCTGACAATCCGTCGATACTGTTATTGTTGATAACACGCTACAATAACCTCCGGCGCATGCATCGTTAACCGCAAGTATAATAATAGATCTTGTAAATTGCGAATTGTTATAAAAATGGTAGAAAAATAAGGCCGTAGCGTGTAACGTGTCGAGTTTGCAATTTAATTATTTAATGGAGAATCCGTAAATAAAAGCGACGTGACACGCTATTAGCTTTAAAAAAAGAAAGAAGGGTTTTTGTGACGATTCACGAATTATTTTTACTAGAAACTCGATATGGAAATAATATGTTGACTAAATTACTTTCGGTGAAACGAGCCAAACGTCATTTTTGTATGGAGTTGAACACTTCTATCGGGTCTCGAGGCGTCTTATCTCCCCTTAGATCGTCTCAAATTTCTGCTTCGGCTGTCGACATGTATGTACTTTTACGCTCGATTAATTTACAACCTCGTCATATTTTTTTCTACCACGTATATAGTAAAGTATAGTAGAAAAAAACGTGAACTTTTTTCAAGAAGAATGACGATAAAAACGAAAGAAAATGATACGCTGCTATTCGTTTGCATCGTCGTCAATAAATGCAGGAGAATAACTCATCGGCGAGTCGTGAGATGCCGTGGCGGACATTTTTCTCGTCAACGTGGGCTATCGACTTTGTAATTGAGCGTTACAGGTGTTCCCAACACTCGAACAATGCCGGCAGATTGTTCAATAACTGCAACGAATGTACGTTTCGACGGTAAAGTCGTCCAAGATACGGGAGCGACGCGGCTGCCACTGACAGGAACGCATTGCGCGTTTCACGGTTCGCTTTAATTAAGCAATTATCACCGCTTATTACGGAAAATATCGACTAACACTCCGGTGCACCGAAGAGAAACGGTCTTCGTTTGTAATTCACGCTATTGATCGACGCACCTGGTTAATTCTAACGTAATCATACACAACAGGATAATCCTTGTGTCCATATTCGTGTATACATGTGTTACATTATGTATTATCTGTAAATGTGATGAATCTATTCTTGTCAGTTTCTAGAATTCATAATTCAAGTACATATTAATGGATCATTGAAAAAAATTAAAATGTTGCATTTCTCTTAATTTCTTATAAATACGAGGATGATTAGAACGTTGGATTTGTTGTCTGTGTCTAGTATCGAGTTCAATTGTTGTGGCACGTTTATTAGAATAATTATTGTAGATGAAAATCGATACTAATTATAAGAGATATTAAACATAAATTGAATCGCAATTCGATCCTGAATTTATTAGAGAAACGATAGAAGCAATACGGACATGGTTCGTCGGAAATATCAGAGTACACGTGAATTCTCAAGCAGAGAGAATATCGTTATAAGTTACTAAATAAATAACTATGAAACAAAATTGAATAAAAGCTTGCGTAAACACGATAAAAGGGCAAAATGTATCTCTCAAGTGAACCAAGTAAATAGAAATAACAATTCAAGATCGCTAGCAGGTAGAAAAGACCTAATTTTTATTCCTTCGTATCAATAGTATCAATCTAGCTTATTGCATATCAACGACTCGCATGACGATTTGTTATCGCCTATCACGCTGTGTGAAAAGTGTTACAATTCGATTTCAATCATTGTGATTCGGAGTTGGACCTACGAATAAAAGCAACAAAAAGTATGAAATGACAAAAAAAAAAGGCGAGGTTCGCGTTAACGAGCGAAGTTCTCAGCGCTATCAACGTGGAAAGAGAGCTTGAACGGTTTAATTATTACCAGCGACTGATTCTTCGTAATTCAGGTCGCACGTACACGCTCGATTTCGTTACATCGTCGTTATCGTTCAGCGTGACGGCGCAACGTCGTGTCATTCGGCATTATTCGTTTATTTCTTCTCTGGCCTTTTATTTTTTTGTTTTCTTCTCTCTCATTCAAGCGGTCGTTCACACATCGCTCGACTTTTGTTCGCTCACCAAGCCGGCTTGCATCACGTAACAGCACGTTCCAATTCTCGCGTGCACACGCCTAACCTTGCCGCACTAACGCACTTTTCTCTTCTGCACATTCCTTCACACGCGCAGCACTGTCCAGGCCTATTTACTTCACAGGTACGTAACATTGTATGTGCGTTGCACTCGTTGCACGTAGTTCGTCGTTTTGTGCTTTGAGACAGTGTACTTGGATTAAGTACACCGGTGAATTTTGAAAGATACTTATGATTATGATGAGCTTTGAAATATTTTCGATCGCTTGGGACACGATTCCACGCTTAATAATTTTGATGAATTTTGAATTCTCAATAGAACTTCGCTTGTGATTTGATAAATGTTAACTCTTGGATGAAACTGAAGTTTCTCGTGAGTATTTTGAGTACTTAAAAGTTGATATGTTCCGCATTCTGAATCTTGATAGATCTCGAGCTATTAAAATTTTTCCTCGACAACTTGAAAATCTCGGAAATCTTACGCAAAACTCATTATTTTAACACCGAGTAATTTTAATTCGCGTTGTATTAGAATACCTTAATATTCTTTAAGATTTCATCAATGAGAGTTGACCGTGTCTCGTAGTGTAATCCGTTCGCCAAGCTCGATGATTAATAAAATGTCAACACATGTATAAAGCCAGCCTCGTGGAAAAAAAATGTTTTATATATCACGAAATAAGTCAGCTGCCAGCACATGAATATGAAATTAGAGAGGGAGCAGGAGCAAGTTGCGATCGCTAAGTTAATAGATTTTAATCCAGATGGCTGAAGAGCGAAATTCCATTATCCGGCGTCGGAGTTGCCGCAAACCAAGTTACACAGCTTCGCGAAAGCGTAATAAACCACCGTATTGCAGTTAACCTTGATTTACAATAATGCGCGCTGTAACATTAACAACCCCTAATGGTTATACATTGCCTCAATTATATATATGCTTAACGCGTTATCGATTTGCCGCGTCATCGTCCCTTATTGCCGGCAGTATCTATTATCCTCACGTGTTCTTACAAGATACACGGATCGCGTTTGCAAATTGCAATTTGCACGAGATAAGTACGATTAATTTCGGTTTAACTTGTTCAGTCGATGAAACCAGGGAGAAGAATAGTTCGTTCTTTGTACACGATGCAAGATTCTTATTATATGGAGTTCTTAAATATCCTTCGACGAGTAACGATTATTTTTAGAAAGATAGATTTGTTGTACGAAGAATAAAAATAATGTAAAAGAAAGTGTAAAGAGATTTCATTTTTAACTGTTGGAAAATTGTTATTATCGATAAGAATTATTCTTTCAATTTGTTCTTCGAGCGAATTACCTATAAATTCTACTAACTGCCTGTGTATCCACGAGAAAAGTCTCCATATTCATTAGCAGGATAGTGGGTTTTCCCTTCTTTTTTTTTTTTTTTTTGAAATTTAATTCCATGCACCATTCATAAACCCAAGAAGAACGGTCATGTACAATGAAGTGTTTATTTTTAGTGGATGCGTACGCGACGCCATTCGGGCATGCGTTTTCATGAATACGTGCCTGAACGGTCGGTCTAGTTGCTCGCAGCATGCCTGCCAGCCCTTCTTTTGTGCCCTTTGCATTTAGGTAACTTTAATTATTCGCCGGCAAGAGTTCCTTACAAGTTTGAATAACTTTATAAGCAACTCGACTACGGAATGCCCGCAACGTGAACCCCTAAGGGCCGGAACCGAGCACCCTGTCCGGAAATGAAAAATTTTTAGAATTACCGTCGCTGCTTTAAACGCCGTAATAAGCGTTCACAGTTAAGAGCAGAGCTGAACATTCATATCGACTATCTAGATACGTGCGTGATTGATTTTTCCTATGTGCACAATAGAACATGGTTTATCTGTACCTGTCGGGAGAAATGGCCATCGCAAATTTTTTCGCTCTCTTTTTTTTTCTCTTCGTATATCGGGCCGACATAGATAATCTGATGTAAAATACATCCTTCGTACCCGCATGCATAAAACGCAATTAGGAAACGGCCAGTCAATGATGCTGTTTAATTGCTCGCGTTTCCACTGGGCGATAATCGCGGTATCACGGAGCGCGGATAAGGGGACGCAAATGAGAGAGAATGGACTTTCATATAATTGTGCCGATATATGCAATAATTCGACCGTGAAATAAACGTTGTGTATCACGCGTCGGTGAAGATGCGTCCTTCCTACGGTGTCCCGTGCACCCGTGCCCCCATTGACGAATAATTTTGTCATGGTACGCGTCCCATGGGTGGTCTCCTTTTTTGACGGCCTTGGTTGTTACAATCTTTCACGTCATTTGGAAAAGATAAAATTCATTAGCGAATTACTATAATATCTTATATTATATTATAAACGATTAATATCGAAACGTACGTTTGTTGCTAATTACATCGTAACAATGTGATGACAAAATGATCGGGCGAGATTAAAATTCAACAGCTTGCAAACGGTTCCCTGCATGTTTTAAATATAAATGCACGTATAAAATATTTATTCGATCTTTTAACACGACAGAACGTAGGAATCTAAGTTGCTACGCGATCTTTTACAGACACTGGTAGAGATTCGCCTCCAGAACCAGCACCACCGGAAGTACCACCGCGTGGTCCATCTCTGCATGCGACTCACACGCTACGTACGCAACAAAATCGAAATGGATGTCCACCGAATGCCACGGGAAACTTCGTGCCAACCGAACAGATGCAGCCGGAGAAGTATTCGGGTAAGTGTCCGATTGCATGTCGTATTTCAATCGTATCGACAATTTTCCTTTGAATTGTCCACGCGTCCTGTAATATCACGTTCAAACTTCACAAAGGTTAAAGGTTATCCGCGTCAAAAATAGAACCTTTTTCAATTTTGCTACTCATACTGTTTCGTAGGAACTGATGGAATTTCTAATATATATTTTTCATACGATACTAACCAGACGTTTAGCTGACTTACAAACGTGAGAGTGTACGTCAAGCATAAAGGAACATTCAGTATGGCAATATCGTATAGTGAACAACCCTTTCGTCTGTGTTCACGCATGTCGATCGCTGACGCATCAGATTAACATTCTACGCGATTACTCGGAATTAATTAGGGAACGGCTGACAAAGTGCACGCGTCGGCAGCGTTCCTCGTTATTTCCGCGGCCCTTCGTGCTTTATTGAATCCTCGAAGATACATTGCCAATGCAGCCCGTTAGTTATGAAAGTTTGAGAAAGATAAAATCTCCGGACGAGCCGGCAGGAAGCCGAGCAGTTCGTCTGTTCGTGTTCGAACGAACGGAGGGGCTTGAATGAATTTATTAAAACTGATTACTATTTAATTCGTCATCCGCGAACGAGAAAACGGATCGCTGGAAAATGTCGTGAAAATAACTTCCAGTAAGATGGAATGGTGTCTGGAGTTTCTTAAGGATTGTTTTATGAATGAACGTGAACATGAATCTTTAATGATTTTTTGCGAAAAAAGCTTTGAGGTTCGCGAATTTCATTGATATCTCATCGTTTAAGATTATTTTCACATCGCGATCAACATTGTTTAACCTGCGTTAAAGGTAGACGTGTTAACATGTCAAAAAATATTAACGTATGCGATTATACACGCTAATATCTGATCTCAGAACTATTTTACAACTATTAGAACTTAGAACTATCTTTTTACTTACTTCTACATTCTTTTTAGTCTTTCTTTCTTGCCCACGTATTAGTTAAAATAATCTAGAGCTACCGCAGCTATATACCATAGCGTTAACCATAGTTATATGTACATATAATCTTATCTTAAACTGCTTGAACTTATCAACAAAGGCCACAATGTAACTCGAAAATTATAGCAGCTCCGGCCTATCCAATTCCTTCGATATCAAATATGTACTTCACCAATATTACTACAGTAGCTGCGCCGATATTCATGGAAGAAAGGCCGGTTATTGTTCGTACTGACCCTATTATCCGGCAAAGCGTATCATCGGCTGGCCGGAAAATTCGCGGAGGAGGATTCAGGCGTCCCGCCAGCTCCAGATAATGCGGTTCAGTTTTCAACGAGGAGTGTTTAATTTCGGCGCGCGCCCTCTCTGTCCCGGTTATGTAGATGCGAGGTCGCGGGTACGCTGGAAATCTGTTTAAACTAATGGCGAGTAGTCCCGGGGATTTTGCATTAACGCCCCCGTTAATTCATTGTAAATATACTCGGTGTGTATTCGTTTCTCTATATTTCTATGTACATACACCATTAGTATATTGCTCGGCGACTAAACATCGTTTGTACCGCCCATAACAGCACTCCCCGCCACAGCCTTCTTTTCACCGAATATTCGACGTAACACACGTGCACGTCGAGCACTCGCCAGTGCAGCTACACCCCCGCCTCTACGCTATGTTATATGCGCGATTTACATACTACCGCGTTCGATTCACGTTTACCGATGCTATAAACACTTCTACGATAATAGGGACGCGGTATTAACCAGCGTGGTTATCGCCGGTCATTAATCATCCGACGTTGCCTGGAGACGATATTTTCGAGTGTTCGACCGTGTTACAACGTGTTTTCGGGACACACGACGAACATCGCCATACAGCCGATCGAGTTTCGATATTCCGCATCGTAGCTCTCTTCAATGCTTTCGTATTCGCTAGAATGTTACTGGATGAGATTCGATGTTTATCTTGACAAGTTGTCTTTATTCTTGGTGTGTGGTTCGGTGTTTGATATGTAGATTGGTTTGGTTATGAGAAGATAATGTAAAATCGGCAGAGATAAAGCGACGAATCCACGAACTAGTACTAGCTGTTGTTTTCACTAACGTGCAGAGACACAATAACATTTTTTCCAACTTTTTCATTCTACGGAAATATGAATTTTTCTTTGTTTAAAATAGTAGTAGGCGTAGCTAATTAATTAACTGACTAACTAGGAAACGATCCAACAAACATTAACGAGGCTTCTAATAATTTTCAACCACCATGGACGAAGGATTTATTATCGTCATGTTCCTTGTTTCGCTTGATACCGACTCCACGTTCATTATCCGCGATTTTCTATGCACGCAGCCGGGTAAATGTTTATATATTTTTGCCCACGGCTTTACCGCTTTGAAAATTGATTAAAAGTCCCTAAAAATATGCACGAAGATATTACGAATTTATTAAGGTCGCTCGATGTTTGATTTAATAATATTACAGGACGCATCCCCACGCCACTTGCAAATCATAATATTTAATTTAATAATATTGTTCGATGCGTCCACTCGTAGCTCGAGAATTAAACTTTCTCTGGAGCTATAGCCGCCATATTGCTTGCAAATTGTTTTCCGTCTTTTTGAACGTGGTGTTATTTCAATTAAAAATTTCTATCGGCCAATGCATCTCACAGTTGAAACTATGCACCGACGGAATGCCAATTTTATACGAACCGTTTCGTTTAATAATGTTCAAAATGTGTTTTTTCTACGGTACAGGCATTCGCCGATTTCACCGTATTGCTTGCGTCCAGTATTTAACTCGTGTACCTGGGATTTCTGTGTCGGTTTACCTTCAATATTTATCGTTTCGATGTGTAGGTGATTTTTCATTTTCCGTAAATAACGCAGCCGCGTTTTCATTGGCTTATTTCCTACAGCTGTGTATTAATAATTTTTGAGAAATTTTTTCTCATATTTTCAGAGTGCTTAATTATGAATTTATTGGAAGATACAATAATGTGTACTAACATTTGGTAATTTTTATATCGTTTCGCATTGTTTTGCTGTATAAATTCAGCTTTACCAAATATTAATGGTACTTTAATTATATATGGTGATCAATTTATGTGGCTCATAAATCTATCATTTATGAATCACGAGTCACATTTCGGAAACTATATCGACGATAAAAATTTTATTTCGGAGTCTTAATCACTTCGAACATATTATCCTATGAAATGATAAGATATCACAAGATTCATTCTTTCAGACGAGTAATAAACATTTAAAGAATAGTTCAAGATCAGCAAATTCTGTAAATCTCCATATATATATATATTCTTCAAATATCCGTGAATCCATGAATATCTTCCACTTCCTTCAACCGAAAATGGAAAACCAACACCGTTGGAAAAACAGGCCATAAAAGAGATTATGAGCTGTAGTGGTAACCGCGCGGCGTTTAACCGAACGCGATTGTTTCCGGTCGCCGCCGGTGCGAAGCAATACAAAACGATTGGCTGGGTTCTATGTGTATTTTCCTAGGATCACCCGAATTTTACGGGCTACGTTTCACTAGTTTGTGTATCGTTTGCGCTGGCTCGCGATTCGCTATGTTTACACGTGAATTTATAGTAATGCATTCTCGGTAAGCCGTATCGCTTTAACGGACCGCGAAGCTTCATTGAATACCTGCGATCATCCCACCCGTGCGGCAAAAAATCGATACGTTTATTGTCGACCTTGTTCCAATTTTTATGCCCCTTAAGTGGCGGAAAAGTACAAAACAACCGGGCTTCGTGGTTCGAGCGACGCGTCATTATCGCAGCCTTTCGTTGGCCTTCGATGAAGCATAAAGCGCAAACGATTTTGCTTTTTTCTTTTGCTTTTAGACAAACCTTCGTTAAATTTGCCTCTGTGATGTGGATTTAGAATACGAGGCGAAGCACGTAGATTTATGGGTCAGTGTCTCTTTTCGTTCGTAGTGCAGGAACATTTAATTGTGTATCGTTTCTTTTGTTCTTCGTTCGGTTATATATATTAATCATTTTGTAAAAATATATAAAGAATTTACCTTAACAAAAAAAAAAGACAGAAAATAAATGTCATTCCGTTCCACGATCTTACCGAGCAAAGCAATCGTAATGAAAAGATTACGTTTCACCGAATTGCAGTCAGTCGACACGATAAACTGCAAACTTGCAACTCCATCGAGGTCCATCTAAGTCAGAAGAAAACGCCTGATAACCGAGCTCGAGGCTCGAGCAAAATCGAAATGAAACGAGTGGCATCAAAGAATCTCATAATGCCGGCTGACTAAAATTGAAAAGTAATCGTTATCACGGCGCGTTGAGTGCATCGATAAAGCGCGAATATGGATGGCGTTGACGGCGCGCAATGGCGACCGAAAAATCGCCGTGTTTTCCGGCTAATGCCGCGCATTACGAGGCAGTAACTAACTGACGCTACTACCGCGATATACATATATACAGTATATGCCCGGAGGCAATTCTTGCGTGGACAATAAAGCGACACTCCCCTCGAATCAACCAGTCGTTCTCTCCTCGTCGCACTCTCACCGTTTTCCGACCAATAATCAGCTTCAGCGTCCAGCGTACGTCGAATTATACACGCGCTAGGTAATTTTTACTGTTTTTTACGAGCCGACCAACGACGCGACAATAACGTCGAAATCCTTTTCACGCACGGTACGCGTGCATCGAATGTCAACGAGCGCTTTCTAACGGCCCTGCTCTATCCGACGCTGCCTATGTATCGCACTTTTGCCGCGCCAGTTAAGCGGCGTTTATTGCACGATCAACGCAACAATCCGTGCCAACTGCCTGGTCCGTGTTTAACCCTCTACCACCGCTGCTATATCCTCTCTGTGATGCATAGTAGATCGCGACCGATGGCGTTAGTGATATTTGGTATATGCTATGGCATTGGTATGGGCTATGATCAAGCTTCTTTGACGACTCGGCCGATTTGTTTTTGGGGATTAGTACGTTTTATGTGTAGATTCGTGTGGGTTGGTGTGAATTTCG